ATATCCCCACCGACCCCACAGAAATACAAACTACCATCAGAGAATACTACAAACACCTCTACGCAAATAAACTAGAAAATCTAGAAGAAATGGATAATTTCCTGGACACTTACACTCTTCCAAGACTAAACCAGGAAGAAGTTGAATCTCTGAATAGATCAATAGCAGGCTCTGAAATTGAGGCAATAATTAATACCCTACCAACCAAAAAAGTCCAGGACCAGATGGATTCACAGCTGCATTCTACCAGAGGTACAAGGACGAGGTGGTACCATTCCTTCTGAAACTATTCCAATCAATAGAAACAGAGGGAATCCTCCCTAACTCATTTTATGAGGCCAACATCATCCTGATACCAAAGCCTGGCAGAGACACAACAAAAAAAGAGAATTTTAGACCAATATCCCTGATGAACATCGATGCAAAAATCCTCAATAAAATACTGGCAAACTGGATTCAGCAGCACATCAAAAAGCTTATCCACCATGATCAAGTGGGCTTCATCCCTGGGATGCAAGGCTGGTTCAACATTTGCAAATCAATAAACATAATCCAGCATATAAACAGAACCAAAGACAAGAACCACATCATTATCTCAATAGATGCAGAAAAGGCTTTTGACAAAATTCAACAGCCCTTCATGCTAAAAACGCTCAATAAATGCGGTATTGATGGAACGTACCTCAAAATAATAAGAGCTATTTATGACACACCCACAGCCAATATCATACTGAATGGGCAAAAACTGGAAAAATTCCCTTTGAAAACTGGCACAAGACAGGGATGCCCTCTCTCACCACTCCTATTCAACATAATGTTGGAAGTTCTGGCTAGGGCAATCAGGCAAGAGAAGGAAATCAAGGGTATTCAGTTAGGAAAAGAAGAAGTCAAATTGTCCCTGTTTGCAGATGACATGATTGTATATTTAGAAAATCCCATCGTCTCAGCCCAAAATCTCCTCAAGCTGATAAGCAACTTCAGCAAAGTCTCAGGATACAAAATTAATGTGCAAAAATCACAAGCATTTGTATACACCAGTAACAGACAAACAGAGAGCCAAATCAGGAATGAACTTCCATTCACAATTGCTTCAAAGAGAATAAAATACCTTGGAATCCAACTTACAAGGGATGTAAAGGACCTCTTCAAGGAGAACTACAAACCACTGCTCAGTGAAATAAAAGAGGACACAAACAAATGGAAGAACATACCATGCTCATGGATAGGAAGAATCAATATCGTGAAAATGGCCATACTGCCCAAGGTTATTTATAGATTCAATGCCATCCCCATCAAGCTACCAACGAGTTTCTTCACAGAATTGGAAAAAACTGCTTTAAAGTTCATATGGAACCAAAAAAGAGCCTGCATCTCCAAGACAATCCTAAGTCAAAAGAACAAAGCTGGAGGCATCACGCTACCTGACTTCAAACTATACTACAAGGCTACAGTAACCAAAACAGCATGGTACTGGTACCAAAACAGAGATATAGACCAATGGAACAGAACAGAGTCCTCAGAAATAATACCACACATCTACAGCCATCTGATCTTTGACAAACCTGAGAGAAACAAGAAAAGGGGAAAGGATTCCCTATTTAATAAATGGTGCTGGGAGAACTGGCTAGCCATAAGTAGAAAGCTGAAACTGGATCCTTTCCTTACTCCTTATACGAAAATTAATTCAAGATGGATTAGAGACTTAAATGTTAGACCTAATACCGTAAAATCCCTCGAAGAAAACCTACGTAGTACCATTCAGGACATAGGCATGGGCAAAGATTTCATGTCTAAAACACCAAAAGCAACGGCAGCAAAAGCCAAAATTGACAAATGGGATCTCATTAAACTAAAGAGCTTCTGCACAGCAAAAGAAACTACCATCAGAGTGAACAGGCAACCTACAGAATGGGAGAACATTTTTGCAATATACTCATCTGACAAAGGGCTAATATCCAGAACCTACAAAGAACTCAAACAAATCAGTGTGTAGAGGGGGGGGTATGGCCTCAAATGCCCACAAGAGAAAGCATGAAAGATCTAAAATTGATACCCTAACATCACAATTAAAAGAATTTAGAGAAGCAGAGCAAACACATTGAAGCTAGCAGAGGCAAGAAATAACTAAGAACAGAACTGAAGGAGATAGAGACACAAAAAACCCTCAAAAAATCAATGAATCCAGGAGTTTGTTTTTTGAAAAGATCAACAAAATTGACAGATCGCTAGCAAGACTAATAAAGAAAAGAGAGAAAGAATCAAATGAAGCGCCAATAAAATGATAAAGAGGAATCTCCCCACCCGACCCCACAGAAATACAGGTGAAACCCCATCTCTACTAAAAATACAAAAATTACCTGGGCATGTTGGTGCATGCCTGTAATCCCAGCTAGTTAGGAGGCTGAGGCAGGAGAATTGCTTGAACCTGGGAGGCAGAGGTTGCAGTGAGCTATCAAGCCACTGTACTCCAGCCTGGGCAACAGAGTGAGACTCCATATGAAAACAAACAAAAACAATGATTACCTCTGGAGAGTGGAATTGGAGATGTAAAATGAGGGGGGACATCTTGATACATTTTACTTGATACACTCATATTATGTTAATATTTTTACACAGAGGATGTATTACCTTCTGGAAAAATAAAAGCTAAGGATTGCTGAAGTTCATGTGTGACTGCCATTCAATGGACATTTGTTGAAAGGATGAATGCCCCGGGCCACTTGTCTCCTCTGCTTCTCTGCTCTTTGCTTGTACTTCCTGATCTTGGCTTGTCACCTGTCTGGGTTTATCCAGGCAGCTGCTCTCAGGCACCCCCAGGGCTCTAGTGGTTCGTGACTCCAGGCTGCACACAGTGTGTCCCTGGGTTGGGGCCACTGCAAGTTTCACGAGCTGCTCTGCCACTGCCAGGGGCAGCCCCCACCCAAGGACAGCTGGTTGCTTGGCTCTCCCCGTTCTGAAACCTGTTACTGGGCATCTGTGCCTGCCCCGACTGCTCTCCCATGAATACAGGGACTCTGCCCAGTTGCCTCGTGAGGTGCTGCCCCGTGGATCCCTGCTGCTATCTGGCCATGCTTTGGGATCTGGCCTGCTCTGTTGTGCTTATATCTGTGGCTGGGAACAGCTGACGCTGGGACAAAAACACTGGGACAATTGCCCCTGTTTCAGGTCCCCAGGTTGCTGCCAGGACCAGCTGCACAGTGACTCCCACAGCAGCTGGGGCTGACTCCCACAGCAGGATTTGGCTGGGAAAGGCCCCTAAGCAGCCTTTCGTCCAGTCAGTCTCAGGTCAGGCTCCTTTGACATATGGGTGGCGCCTCCAAAGGTGGACTCAGATGGGTTTTTCCCAATTTATATATAAAAAAGAACCAATTAATGATTAATGGCTACTGCCTTTTTGATTTTCCATTTTTCTCCAACAAATGTTTTCGGAATCTCTGCCTGTGACCACTTGTTGGCAAAAAGATGCCAGCAGACAGACAAATGAACAAGGAGCTGGCAAGAATCAGTGGGAACACTTGGAAGCAGCCACCGGCTTATTTTGACAGTTTAGTTTCCTCCTGTGACCACGTGCTCATGGCTGCAGCTTCATATTTGGTTTTATAAGTGTCAGTTACTTTTGTAAGTGCAGAAGTTTTATAAGTGCAGTTAAGTCAGTTAGTTTTATAAGTGCAGAAGTAACACTTCTCTGCAAATTAAAGTTAGTCAAGTCAGATGCCAGCTTTCCCCTTCTTTGGAGGCTCTGCCACAAATACCATGACTCTCTTGCTCTAGTGCCTAAAAATGTGAAGGAGTCCTGATCTAGTTCAAGTCCCATTTTACAGAAGAGCAAACTGAGGTGGTCCCTAATTGGCACAGAGTGTCCGCCTCTTCTCCCCCAGCTTCTATTACCAGGCATGGTGCTTCCTCTGCCCTCTCCTGGGCACCCTTTTCTTGTGACTGGGTTTCCTGTTCTGGCTGCTTTCGCCTACTTCTGCGTGTATCCATGGCTGCTCCTTAATATTGATGCCAACTATTATTATTTTCAGAGACAAGGTCTTGCTATGTCGCTCAGGCTGCAGTGCAGTGGTGTGACCTTGGCTTACTGTAGCCTCCACCTCTCGGGCCCAAAAATCCTTCCACCTCAGCCTCCCAAGTAGCTGAGACTACAGGCATGCACCACCATGCCTACTTAAAAAAAAAAAATCTTTGTAAAGACAGAGTCTTGCTATGTTGCCCAGGCTGCTCTTGAACTCCCGGGCTCAAACAATCCTCCCTCCTTGGCCTCCCAAAGTGCTGCAGATTACATTTGTATGAGCCACGGCACCTGGCCTATTATTTTTAATGAATAATTTGTAATGCTTATTGTTATAAAAAAATGTGTGTTTATTGTTAAAAAGAATTTGAGCTAGTGTGGAAGCTCAGAGCAGACAGCTCTCTGAGTTTACATTTACAAGACAGGGGACCAACTCGGCTTTATTTGCCTGGGATGGTCCCAGTGTAAAACAGGAAGTCCTGCATCCTGGAAAACCTCTCAGTCCTGGGCAAACCAGGATGGTTGGTCACCCTACAGAATAGCTAGAAGATGCCTAAGGGGCACTAATTTCCAATAATTAATGCTATGGGGGTCTCAAAGTATCAGGTTTTGGGTTTTGCAAATATATACCTGTTCATAGCACTCGATGGTGGAGTCTGGGCCACACACAGATACACAAAAATAAAATCACCATTCCTATGGAACTCTTTTTTTTTTTTTTTTTGAGACAGAGTCTTTCTCTGTCACCCATGCTGGAGTGCAGTGGCGTGATCTCGGCTCACTGTAAGCTCCGTCTCCCGGGTTCATGCCATTCTCCTGCCTCAGCCTCCCAAGTAGCTGGGACTACAGGCACCCGCCACCATGCCCAGCTATTTTTCTTTTTTTTGTATTTTTAAGAGACGGGGTTTCACCGTGTTAGCCATGATGGTCTCAATCTCCTGACCTCGTGATCTGCCCGCCTCGGCCTCCCAAAGTGCTGAGATTACAGGCCTGAGTCACAGCGCCCGGCCATGGAACTCTTAACATGCCTGAGCAGTGTTCAACCTCTTTGGACAAGGCCACCCTCTATGTTCCTTTTCACTCAGCTTTACCCACACAGAAATTTTGGGGACCCATGGGGGGCCCAGCAGTTGCCAAGGTCTGCAGCCTTCTCCAAGGGGTTCCCATCTAGCTCTCAAGAGGAAGGAGGGGGTTCTCAGTCACCAGGTGGGCATGGCACTCCGAGGCCAGGTAAGCAGGGCAGTGCCCTGGGGCTCAGGGCTGGTCTGGTTCTTACCGAATTGATCCAGTCATTATAGTTGGAGACCCGCGTGAAGATGGAGGGCATGTAGTAGTAGTTGCAGCCAAGGAGAGACGTGAGGCTGCCGATGCCATGCACCTCCCACCGGCCATCAGCTGCCTGACAGTTCAGCGGCCCGCCGGAGTCTCCCTGAGGAAGGCCAGAGTTATAGAAGGGTAAAGGGAGAGGAAGGGGCTGCCCTTTGGAACCATTGTTCTCAATGCATTTCTATTGTTCTGCTGCAGGTCACTGTCCTCTGAAGGCAGCCCTTGTGGTCATAGCCCAGGATGGTACCATAATTCCAACAAGAGCCAACACCTATTCTTCCTATGTGGTCAGAGCTGAGCTAAGCATGTTCTATGCCTTATCTCATTAATCCCCACAAAATCCTATGAGGTAAATATTCACAGTCTCCCCAGGTCACTGGAGAGGAGAAACTGGAGTGTTGAGAGGTTGGGACTTGTCCAAGGTTGCACAGGCTGTTTGTAAAGGAGCTGAGGCCACATCCCAGAGTTCAGCTGCCAGGCTCTTCCCCACCGGCTCCATCTTCCCATGCATGGGGTGTTCTGTGTGGGCAGAGTGTGTAGGGCACAGTGTGATCTGAAGGGTGTGTGGATCTCCTTCCTATTCCATCCCCAGTTCATTGCTAAGTCCAACACAGAGCAATTCCTGGTGGTTAAGACACTGTCTCCGGGAAGGCTTCCGTGGCAGCTACCTGGAGGGGACACGCTGGGCCACTGATGAGAGTAATTCAACAGAAAACCCAGAAGTCATCCTAGAGAGGCCCTAAGCCAGGGAATACCTTCCTTTGGCTCCCTTTCATCATAGAGGAAAGGATATGGAATGACAGTCACGAGGGACCTTGATGAGACCCGGGAAGGACTTCCCAGCAGTGAGAGGGGTGGACACGACAAGGAGAATCTCAAAACAAGAACAAATAAGAACCAATCAAGTTTTTTTGTTTTTGTTTTTTGAGTTTTGCTCTGTCACCCAGGCTGGAGTGCAGTGGTGTGACCTCAGTTCACTGCAACCTCTGCCTCATGGGTTCAAGTGATTCTCCTGCCTCAGCCTCCTGAGTAGCTGTGACTCCAGGTGCCTGCCACCACGCCTGACTAATTTTTGTATTTTTAGTAGAGACAGGGTTTCACCATGTTGGCCAGGTGTGTCTCGAACTGCTGTCCTCAAGTGGTCTGCCTGCCTTGGCCTCCCAAAGTGACAGGGTACAGGCAGGAGCCACCGTGCCTGGCCAAAGATTGGGTTCTGATATATCTGGAACATATTTCTGGGTACTTCTGCCAGGAGGAGGGAGGATGGACCTATGGATGGGTGGACCTCTATAGCCTTATCCCCAGCCACATTTTGTCATGGAGCGGGGCCCCTGATTTTGGTACTCACATTGCAGCTGGAGATCTTGCCATCACCCCCAGCACAGATCATACTGGTTTTCACGGTGCTGCCCCACCAGCCAGAGCTGGAGCAGGTGGCATAGTCCACAACCAGCAACCGGCCCTGCTGCAGGACATCAGGAAGAGGCCCGTTGGCTGAATGAGATCAGAAAGAAGGCATTAGGGATGCAAGGACTCCTTAGAAAAAGGAAGTGGTTGACCAGTACTGGGTTGCCCTTGTTACTGTCTTCCATCCATTGCAATATGCGAACAGCTATGTTTGTCTATACTGTGTCCTCATGGTTGATTGGTTCAGCAGTGAACACCTGACTCAAGCTAAGCCAATGAGCTCCCTCCCCTGGGATCCTAAGATGGGGTCTAAGAGATTCCAGTTTCAGAGGACATAAATCTGGGAATCTGTTGGCAATGGCTGACATTTTGTTTTATGTGGAGAATGAAGTAGACTCACAAAGAAAAGAAATTCCGGGAGAGCGTTTCCTGAGTTTCTTACAGGCTTCCAGCCCCTGATTCTAGCCTGTTCCTGACGCCTGGCTATATCTCAGCCCTTAGGTTGAAACTTTTAAATCCTTAGAACAATCCCTTTTTTTGCTGAGCTAACTCCCTGGTTTTCTGTCACTTATCTGAAATAAGAAAGTGAGCCTCCTGGCAGTTAGAGCCCCCTCCTTGGGAAAAATATGTTGGTGTGGTGAAGGGAGGGCTGTCATAATGGCCCCCAATGACACAGCCACCATGACCTGCATTACTGTTACTATGAGTGGCAAGGATGAGCTTAACATAATTCTTCACTATGGATTGAGCCTAGGGAAGTTGAGGGTTGGTCAGGCGCAGCGGCTCACCCTCTAATCCCAGCACTTAGGGAGGCCAAGGTGGGCGGACCCCTTGAGGTCAAGAGTTTGAGACCAGCCTGACCAACATGGTGAAATCCTGTATCTACTAAAATATAAAAATTAGCCGGGCGTGGTGGCACATGCCTATAATTCCAGCTACTTGGGAGGCTGAGGCAGGAGAATCGCTTGAGCTTGGGAGGCAGAGGTTGCAGTGAGCCGAGATTGCACCACTGCACTCCAGCCAGGTCAACAGAGCAAGACTCTGTCTCAAAAAAAAAAAAAAAAAAAAAAAAAAAAGAAACGGAAGTTAAGGGTCTGGCTTAAGACCACTAATAAGTAATTAACACTTGTATAACATTTTGCAACGTAGGACGCATTTTCACCTTTCACCTCTTTTGTTCTTCACCAACAGTGTTTCCATTTTACAGATAAGGAGACTGAGGTTCGGAAGTGACTTGCCCAAGGTTTCACTGTGACTGACAGAGCTGGGCCTAAAAGCCAAGCATTTGGATGCCTCCCCGCTCCTGCTGTCTCAATGAACTGCGTCTGCCCCAGGGTTGTCTGGGGAAACAAACAGGTGGTTGTGCTTCTATCTTAATAAGCATGAAATGCCTCTTCCACCACCGCTCACCGCAGGATTTCATGTGTTTACACATCACTGTAAACAGCACTGTTTACAGTGTTTACAGATAAGCCAGTCAAGAGGGCAATGGGGATTTACTGGAGGGTACGTATGTGGATGTGCCCCAGGAAAAACATGTCATTATACT